CAGGTTAGTAGTGTTATTTCTCTTTTTTTATTCCTGTTAACTCCATTTTCAAACTTTAATTCCAATTGAATCGACAAGAATCAAACAAAACAGGAAAAGAAAATAAAACAAAATGGGAAAAAACACACCCGCAGTCATATCAAAACGTATATCCCTTTTTATATTCTCCTTTCATACATTCTCCCCCTCTCATATCTCATCACAGACCGATGACGTGTCTTTTATTGCATAGGGATAAAATTAGTACATCAAGAGAGACAACAGAGAGACAAAAAAACATCAAAGAATGCAATGGATGGCACCATAACGAAACACAAAGCAGAATATAGAACATATAGCCTAACTAAATTTATATCATGGCCATCGGCCATGACAAGTACTACACTACTCTGCTTCATCTCTTAAGATTTTGGTAAAATACACACTTTTAATTGAAAAACGTTCCTTAAGCTTTGCAACGGTTACTGTGATTGTTTTATGACTTCAATTACTTGCAAAATAAGGAACGCCCTCTCCAGGAACTTGACGAGACCGGGATTGCCCATGTCTATTTCTGTTGAAAATAATTCGTTTTCTGTTACTTTTGTCTGCGGGAGTTACCTTTGTGAAGAATACGTAGAAAAACAAGCATATAGTTTTAAAATCCATATCGAGAGTAGCGATGTAAACAACATGAAACAGGAACGTAAGGTTATCATGGTAGTTGTGTCGTACAAAAATAGTCTGATGCTATTCAAGCTTTCCCATACACTTAGTACTTTGAATGGATGAAGTTGAAGACGGTCCCATATGGATGTTTCACATAAACTCCAACCGAACTCCACTTTATTCATCAAAATCTGTATTCTTCTACCTATATAAAAAGATCTACGAACAGTGTAATGGATGAAAAAAACAATTAACACTACGCCTCAGCTATCGGATAATGCTATTGTTCTTTTTAGCTCCATTACAAATTACGCAGTCATTAACCGATACTCATGTACTACTTGGACAAAGTGGAGTATTGTCAATTACATGCGACGCTTTTCCATCACCGAAATTCACATGGTAATAATATATCTTTATATTAGAATATTCATCCTTACCATTTGTTTTAATCTTCGTCAACTCAAAATAGGTTCTTCAATGATACAGAATTGAAGAATTCAGGAAAACATAAGATTGAATCGAAACAAAATGTGTACACACTAACTATCAATAAGTGTGATCATCCAGATGTAGGAACATATCGTGTATTAGTTGACAATGGTATTGATCATACTGAACAAACTGCTAAACTACATGTTGGAGGTAAACCGTCTGACTGCTCTTTGAAAGTCAAAAAACCTCTTTGTTTTCTGTTTCAGTCAAACCAAAAGTTGAAGCTCCAAAACCAGCCAATGATCAGACATGTACCATTGGTCAAGATACACAAATATCATGGAAATTTAGTGGCATTGAGAAACCTCATG